AACAGATTCTGGTAAATTAAGATGTATATTGTCCAGGCACAGTGGCCCATGCCAATAATCCCAGCACTTTGGGAGGCCCAGGTGGATGGATCACTGAGGTCAAGAGTTTGAGAACTGTCTTGCAAATATGGTGAAATCCCATCTCTACTAAAAATAAAAAAATTCGTGCCTGTTATCCGAGCACTTTGGGAGGGGTGGCAGGCAAATCACGAGATCGGGAGTTCGAGACCATCCTGACCAACATGGTGAAACCCCATCTCTACTAAAAATACAAAAATTAGCCAAGTGTGGTGGTGTGCCTGTAATCCCAGCTATTCAGGAGGCTAATGCATGAGAATTGCTTGAACCTGGGAGGCGGAGTACAAAAATTAGCCAGGTGTGGTGGCAGGTGCTGTAATCCCAGTTACTGGGAAAGTTGAGGCAGGAAAATCACATGAAACCAGGAGGTGGAAGTTGCAGTGAGCCGAGATTGTGCCACTGCATTTCAACAAAGGCAACAAGTGCAGTGGGGAAAAAAACGTATATTATAAGGCCTAGACAAAATAAGAAAGTTACTACAAAAGCATGAACAATCAGTATAGAAAGTTAAATATTACATGGAAAGTATTGAATGTTAAAAGAAAGCACTTGGGCCGGGCACGGTGGCTCACGCCTGTAATCCCAGCACTTTGAGAGGCTGAGGCGGGTGGATCACACAGTGAAGAGATTGAGACCATCCTGGTCAACATGGTGAAACCCCGTCTCTACTAAAAATACAAAAAATTATCTGGGCGTGGTGGCGCATGCCTATAATCCCAGCTACTCAGGAGGCTGAGGCAGGAGAATTGCCTGAACCGGGGAGGCGGAGGTTGCAGTGATCCAAGATTGCGCCATTGCACTCCAGCCTGGGTAACAAGAGCGAAACTCCATCTCAAAAAAAAAAAAAAAAAAGAGGCCGGGCGCGGTGGCTCAAGCCTGTAATCCCAGCACTTTGGGAGACCGAGGCGGGTGAATCACAAGGTCAACAGATCGAGACCATCCTGGTCAACATGGTGAAACCCCGTCTCTACTAAAAATACAAAAAATTAGCTGGGCATGGTGGCGCATGCCTGTAATCCCAGCTACTCAGGAGGCTAAGGCAGGAGAATTGCTTGAACCCAGGAGGCGGAGGTTGTGGTGAGCCGAGATCGCGGCATTGCACTCCAGCCTGGATAACAAGAGCGAAACTCCGTCTCAAAAAAAAAAAAAAAAAGAAAGCACTTAAGAAAGACTAGGCCAGGCACGGTGGTTCACGCTTATAATCTCTGCACTTTGGGAGGCCAAGGCAGGTGGATCCCGAGATCAGGAGTTCAAGACCAGCCTGGCCAATATGGTGAAACCCTATCTCTACGGAAGATACAAAAATTAGCCGGGCATGGTGGCAGGCACCGGTAATCCAGCTACTCAGGAGGCTGAGGCAGAGAATTGCTTGAACCCAGAAGGTGGAGGTTGCAGTCGGCTGAGATCCAGCCACTGCACTCCAGCCTGGGTGACAAAAGGAGACTCTGTTTCAGAAAAAAAAAAGAAAAGAAGAGCCAGATATGGTGGCTTACACCTGTAATCCCAGCACTTTGAGGCCAACACGCGTGGGTCACGACTTCAGCACTTTGAGACCAGCCTGGCCAACATAGCGAAACCCCATCTCTACGAAAACTACAAAAAATTACCTGTCCGTGGTCAAGGGTGCCTGTAATCCCAGATACTCTGGAGACTGAGGCAGGAGAATCGCTTCAACACGAGAGGTGGATGTTGCAGTGAGCAGAGATTGCACCATTTACCCTCCAGCACAGGTGACAGTGCAAGACTCCATCTGAAAAAATATAAATTAATTAAAATATAAATGGTTGGGTGTGGCAGCTCACGTCTGTAATTCCAGCACGTTGGGAGGCAGAGGCAGGTAAATTACCTGAGATCGGGAGTTTGAGACCAGCCTGACCAACATTGAGAAACCCCATCTCTACTAAAAGTACAAAATATTAACTGGGCATGGTGGCACATGCCTGTAATCCCAGCTGCTCTGGAGGCAGAGGCACAAGAATCACTTACACCTGGGAGGTGGAGATTGCAGTGATACCTTGTTTCTACAAAAATTAGCCAGGTGTAGTGGTGGGTGTCTGTAGTCTCAGCTACTTGGGAGGCTGAGGCCAATCATTAGAACCCAGGAAGCAGAGATTGCAATGAGCCGAGATGACGCCACTGCGCCCCAGCCTAAACAACAGACCAACAATTCATCTCACACAACAACAACAAAACAAATTAAACTTTCAAAATATAAAAGCACCATCAAAAAGTCATACCTTTTATTTTATTTTATTTTATTTTGAGATGGAGTTTCACTGTTGTTACCCAGACTGGAGTGCAATGGCACGATCTCGGCTCACTGTAACCTCCGCATCCTGGGTTCAAGCAATTCTCCTGCCTCAGCCTCTGGAGTAGCTGAGACTGCAGGCTTGCACCACCATGCCCAGCTAATTTTTGTATTTTTAGTAGAGACAGGGTTTCACCTTGTTGACCTAGTTGGTCTCGATCTCTTGACCTCGTGATCCATCTGCCTCGGCCTCCCAAAGTGCTGGGATTATAGGCGTGAGCCACCGTGCCCGGCCAAGTCATAGCATTTTTATACATTAATAACTATCTTCAGACCTTGCACGGTGGCTCACGCCTGTGATACCAGCACTTTGGGAGGCTGACGTGGGCAGATCATGAGGTTAGGAGTTCAGGACCAGACTGGCCAATAGGGTGAATCCCCATAACTTCTAACAGTACAAAAATTAGCTGAGTGGGTGGCAGGCAGCTGTGGTCCCATGTACTCAGGAGATGAGGCAGAAGAATTTTTAACCCAGGTGGAGGAGGTTACACTGAGCTGACATAGTGCCACTGCACTGCAGCCTGGGTAAGAGTGAGACTCAGTCTCAAAAGAAAAAAACAAAGTTAAACAAAAACAAACAAAAAACAAAAATCTTTCTCCAAATAAAATTAAAAAACAATTTGATTTACAATGACTATAGTTTGATATAAATTTAACCAAAGTTTAAATTTATATCATTTTATTAAATTTTATTAAATTTAACACTTTATATCCTACTGTAAAGAACATAATAGAAATTTAAAAATCCATAAATGGGGCCAGGCACGGTGGCTCACGCCTATAATCATAGCACTTTGGGAGGCAGAGACAGGTGGATCACAAGGTCAAGAGATCAAAACCATTGTGGTCAACATGGTGAAACCCCATCTCTACTAAAAATACAAAAATTAGCTGGGCATGGTGGCGCATGCCTGTAGTCTCAGCTACTCGGGAGGCTGAGGCAGGGGAATTGCTTGAACCCAGGAGGCGGAGGTTGCGGTGAGCTGAGATCTTGCCATTGTACTCCAGCCTGGGGAACAAGAGCGAAACTCCGTCTCAAAAAAAAACAAAAAAAAACCAAAAAAAAAACATAAATGGAATATTATTCATTAACTGGCATTATTAATAAATATTTGTATTACACAAAATTTTCTATAGGTTTAATGCAACTTCTGTCAAAATACCAGTAACATACTTCATAGAAATTTTTAAAAAGTATATCTAAAATTCATATGGTACTGCAAAGGACACTGAATAGCCGAAGCAATCAAGACAAAAGAAGTGGAGGTATCACCCTACCTGACTTTGAAATATACTATAAAGCTATGGTAACCGAAACAGTATGGTACTTCAATAAAAAGAGAAACCTAGGTCCATGGAGCAGAAGAAAAAAAAGAACAGAAATATATCCATGTATTTACAGCTAACTGATTTTAAATATAGGTGACTTTTTAAAACAGAAAGAACAGTATTTTCATTAAATGATCTTAAAAAAACTTTATATTCACATGCAGACAAAATAAAATGAGACCCTCTTCTCACACCATATGTAAAAATAAACTAAAAATAAATTAGCGACTTTAAGGCCTGAAACTCTGAAACTACTATTATCAAAAATTACAGTGAATGCTCTATAAGATTGATCTGGGCAGCAAGTTTTTTGATTTAACCTAAATATCCCAGGACACAAAAGTAAGTATAAGTCACCTCACTTCAAATTAAAAAGCTGATATGCAGAATCTGATACAATCAACAGAAGGTGACAACTAAAAAACTGACAAAAATATTTGCAAATTATACATGTGATGAGGGGTTAACATCAAAAAAATATAAAAAAACTCAAATGACAATACAATTAAAAAACTAATTACTAAAAATAAGCGATAGCTGAAATAAGTTATTTTTCAAGACAACACATACATATGTCCAACAGATATGTTTGAAAATGCTCAATGTCAGCCGGGCACAGTGGCTTAAGCCTGTAATCCCAGCACTTTGGGAGGCTGAGGCAGGTGGATCACAAGGTCAAGATATCGAGACCATCCTGGTCAACATGGTGAAACCCTGTCTCTACTAAAATCAGAAAAAATTAGCTGGGCATGGTGGCGTGTGCCTGTAATCCCAGCTACTCAGGAGGCTGAGGCAGGAGAATTGCCTGAACCCAGGAGGGGGAGGTTGCGGTGAGCCGAGATTGTGCCATTGCACTCCAGCCTGGGTAACAAGAGCAAAACTCCATCTCAAAAAAAAAAAAAAAAGAAAATGCTCAATGTCAATTATTATCACAAAAAGGGAAGCCAAAATATAAAAACTATGAGATATCGACTCATTCCTGTTAGAATGACTCTCATTAAAAAATAAAAAGTGTTGGCAAAAATGTGAAGAAAAGGGAATCCTTGGAGACTTTGGTTTGAATGTAAATGAGGACAGCCATTATGAAAAACAAAATAGAGATTTCCCAAAAAACTTAACTACCATGTAATACAGCAATTGCACTACTGGATATATATACAAAACAAATAATATCAGAATGAAGAAATGTTTGCACTTCTGTTGTTTGCAGTACCTTTCACAATAGTCAAAATATAGAATAAACAGTTTAACATCTAATATGTAAATGAAGACAAGGCGGTAGGTATACACAATGGAATACTATTTATTATTTTGGTTTGTTTGTTTGTTTGAGACAGAGTCTCTCTCCATGACCAGGCACCAGGCTGGAGTGCAGTCGTGTGATCTTGGCTGACTGCAACCTCCACCTCCTGGGTTCAAGCAATTCTCCTGCCTCAGCCTCCCCCAAGTAGCTGGGACCACGTGTCAAGGTATTTAGAATGGAGGGTTGAAAGAATGTCTGTCAAATAATACATAATTACAGTCGAATAGGACAAATAATTTCAAGAGATTTATTATACACCATGGTGACTACAATTCATAATAATGTATTTGGATTTTTGAAAGTAAATTTAAATGATTAAAAACAGAAGAAAAATTTAACCTGGCCAAGAGTGGTAGCTCATGCCTGTAATCCAAGCACTTTGGAGGCCAAGTCAGGCAAATCACCTGAGGTCGGGAGTTCAAGACCAGCTTGACCAACATGGTGAAACCCCGTCTTTTTTTTTTTTTTTTTGAAACGGAGTTTCGCTCATTACCCAGGCTGAAGTGCAATGGCGCAATCTTGGCTCACCGCAACCTCCGCCTCCTGGGTTCAGGCAATTCTCCTGCCTCAGCCTCCTGAGTAGCTGGGACTACAGGCTGCGCCACCAGCCCAGCTAATTTTTTGTATTTTTAGTACAGACGGGGTTTCACCATGTTGATCAGGATGGTCTCGATCTCTTGACCTCGTGATCCACGCGCATCAGCCTCCAAAAGTGCTGAAACTACAGGCGTGAGCCACTGCACCCAGCAATCCCATCTTAAAAAAAAAAAAATTTAACCTACAGAAATAATATTCTTTAACTTATTTGCAGTTGAAAGCCACTGGCAAAAAAAATTACTAGGGACGGTAATCCGTTATGTATATTGTTACGATCTTTTAGAAATGCCCTTGGATAAGGTGGAAGAGGTTAAAGTTTGTGGCATAATAACGCTTCATTGAATGCACAATAGTGTTTAACATGTAAAAATTTTGAATTAAAGCATTAACTTTATTTAAAATTTTTTAATGTACTGCATTTCATTATATAAAAGTAGTTAATATACTAATTTAATTTTAAACATGTTGTCTTCATATGACAATGCACAATATTACTCTGAACATCTCCGTCATGCATTACTCAATATTATGTTAACTTTTAAGAGCCTCTCCACTCAGATTTTCATCCTGCATTTTACATTTTAATGTCTTTACTTTCATATAGAAAAGATCATAAATAATGCCCACCTAATAAAAAAGAATTTGTCTAGAGGCCCAGGTGGGTGGATTACAAGGTCAGGAGTTTGAGACCAGCTTGTCCAACATGATAAAACCACATCTCTTAAAAATACAAAAATTAGTTGGGTGTGGTGGCAGGTGCCTGTAATCCCAGTTAATTGGGAGACTGAGACAGGAAAATTGCCTGAATCCAGGAGGTGGAGGTTGCAGTGAGCTGAGTCGTGCCACTGCACTCCAGCAACTCTGTCTTAAAAAAAAAAGCCAGATGCAGTGGCTCACACCTGTAATTCCAGCACTTTGGGAAGCTGAGGTGGATGGATCACGAGGTCAGGAGTTCAAGATCAGTCTGTCCAACATAGTGAAACCCCATCTCTACTTAAAATACAAAACATAGCTGGGTGCCATGGTGTACATCTGTGATCCCAGCAACTCAGAGTCTGAGGCAAGACAATTGCTTGAACACAGAGGCAGAGGATGCAGTGAACCAAGATTGCGTCACTGCACTCCAGCCTGGGAGAATGAGCAAAACTCCCTCATAAGAAAAAAACAAACAAAAACAAAAAAGAATGTCTCCTATCTTTGATGCAGCAACAATTGATCCATGCTTTCATGTGTGAGTCCAACAGAAATGAATAAACAGAATAATTTCAGGATTGAATGACATTATTATTCACTTCTCAAAAAATCTGTAATTTTTTTAAGAAATATACTTTGAATGTAATAACTGCCAAAAAACGTTCTGATTCTCTTAAAGTTTTATACAAAAAATTTTTCTACCAACTTTAGTTTTAGATTTTCTATACTCTGATTTAGGATGTCTGATGTGTCAGTACCTTATATATTTCTACCATAAATACTCTGATATTTGCATAGACTTAATTATGTATTAATTTAACTTATACTGCAACTGCATAAATATCTTCTAGTATAAACTGTTATTTTCTAAGATGTAGGTTTTGAAAAAGTGTTTTTCCAAATCTATTACATCTGCACATCTTTTCTTCAATATAAATCCCCTGATGCAGAACAAAGTTTGAGCAACTATCTCAGAGTTTTTCTCTAGAACAAAATGTCTATAATAAAATCTATGATACCAGTAAAGAGGTATAACTCTCTTTATATTTGTAATGTTCATCTTCAAAATAAATACTCTTCACTATGAAAGCTTGTATTTTCTGAAAAATCTTGACAGAAATTGCACTTATAATCCTTTTATTAAGTACGAATTCTCTGGCGTTAAGATGTGAGGAAATAAGACATGAGTAAGATATGAAAATGGATTTTTCAGTCTTTATATAATTTATCTCAAGTATAAACGCTTTCTTGTACAATAAGGTGTGAGCATTGGTTACAAGTTTTGCCACATTGTTCAAACGTGTAGGCCTTTTTTATAGTATAAATTATCCTTGTTTTTTTTTTGTTTGTGTTGTTTTTTTGAGACGGAGTTCGCTGTTGTCATCCAGACTGGAATGCAATGCCGTGATCTCGGCTCACCGCAACCTCCGCCTCCTGGGTTGACGCAATTCTCCTGCCTCAGCTTCCTGAGTAGCTGGGACTACAGGTGTGCACCACCATGCCCAGCTAATTTTTGTATTTTTAGTGGAGACGGGGTTTCACCATGTTGACCAGGATGGTCTCGATCTCTTGACCTAGTGACCCACCCGCCTCCGCCTCCCAAAGTGCTCGGATTATAGGCGTGAGCCACCGCGCTCGGCTAGTATAAATTATCTTACCTAAATTAAGTGTGACAAGCATTTAAAGGCCTTGTCTCTTTCTTCAGATTTCTAGGATTTCTCACCACGATAATTTCTTTTATGGTTAGAAAAGTTTGAGGAGGGGCCGAGCACGGTGGCTCAAGCCTGTAATCCCAGCACTTTGGGAGGCCGAGGTGGGTGGATCATGAGGTCAAGAGATCTAGACCATCCTGGTCAACATGGTGAAACCCCGTCTCTACTAAAAATACAAAAATTAGCTGGGCATGGTGGCGTGTGCCTGTAATCCCAGCTACTCAGGAGGCTAAGGCAGGAGAACTGCTTGAACCCAGGAGGCGGAGGTTGCGGTGAGCCGAGATCGTGTCATTGCACTCCAGCCTGGGTAACAAGAGCGAAACTCCATCTCAAAAAAAAAAAAAAAAAAAAGAAAAGTTTGAGGTGTTGTCAAAAGCATTGTCAAGTATTTCTGGTTTGTAGAGTTTCTTTCCAGTATAAATTATTTTATGTCTTTTAAGAATTCAGGGCTTATTAAAGGCTTTGCCATGTTTTTCACACTTGTAGGATTTCTGTACAGTATCAATTTAATACTTAGTAAGATCTGAGAAATGGTTAAAAGCTTTGCCACATTCTTCACATTTGCAGTTTCTCTACAGTTTGAATTATTTGTTTAATAAGGTTCAAGGATTAAAAGCAGTGCCACATTCTTCATAGTTGTAAGGTTTCTTTCCAGTATGAATTCTCCTATGTTTAGTAAGAGTTGAGGATTGGTTAAAGGCTTTGCCACATTCTTCACATTTGTAAGGTTTCTCTCCAGTATGAATTATCTTATGTTTAGTAAGGGTTGAGGACACATTAAAAGCTTTGCCACATTCTTCACAATTGTAGGGTTTCTCACCAGTATGAATTCTTTTATGTGTAGTAAGGTTTGAGGACTGCATAAAAGCTTTGCCACATTCTTCACATTTGTAAGGTTTCTCTCCAGTATGAATTCTTTTATGTATAGAAAGGTATGAGGACCGATTAAAAGCTTTGCCACAGTCTTCACATTTGTAGGGTTTCCTTGGAGTGTGAATTTTCTTATGTGTAGTAAGGATTGAGGACTGATTAAAAGTTTTGCCACAGTCTTCACATTGGTAGGGTTTCTCTCCAGTATGAATTCTTTCATGATTAGTAAGGGCTGAGGACCAGTTAAAGCCCTTGCCACATTGTTCACATTTGTAGGGTTTCTCTCCAGTATGAATTCTTTTATGATTAGTAAGGGTTGAGGGCCAGTTAAAGCCCTTGCCACATTCTTCACATTTGTAGGGTTTCTCTCCAGTATGAATTATCCTATGTGCAGTAAGTAGTGGGGACTGGTTAAATGCTTTGCCACATTCTTCAGATGTGTACGGTTTCTCTCCAGTATGAATTCTTTTATGTGTAATAAGGGTTGTGGAAAATTTAAAAGCTTTGCCACATTCTTTGCATTTGAAGGGTTTCTCTTCAATATGAATTCTCTTGTCTCTAGTAAAGGTTGAGAACCACTTGGAGGCTTTGCCACGTTCTTCACATTGGTACAAATTCTCCCCAGTATGAACTCTTTGATGTTGACTTAGGTGTAAAAGCATGCAAAATGATTTGTCACATTTTTCACATTTGAAAGGCTTCTTTCTAGTCTGTCTTATATTATGTCTATTTGAATTTAAAAATTTATGAAAGATTTTCACATATTGATCACACTGAAATACTTTGCTCTGGGTAGTTGTGAAACACTGGTTGAATTCATTATAACCTTCTTTGTGCACCTTACATTCATCCACCACACTTTCACAGCCTTTTCTTAACTGTAAATTCTTAGGTCCACATTTTCCGTATCTTCCCAGTATCACTTGTTGAAAAGAACCTTTTATGTGTTGCTCTGGCCAAAAGTATTTTGGAAAATAAGAACACATAGCTGAAAGAAATAAAAACAACAAATTGTTGAACTTACTATGCTTAGATAAACATACTTTACAAATTGAACCTATATTATAAAGGTAACTGAGGCCTGTAATCCCAGCACTTTTGGAGGCCAAGGCAGGCATATCACCTGAGGTCAGGAATTTGAGACCATCCTGACCAACGTGGAGAAACCCTGTCTCTACTAAAAATACAAACTTACCTGGGTGTAGTGGTGCATGCCTGTAGTCCCAGCTACTAGGGAGGCTGAAGCAGGAGAATCACTTCAACCCAGGAGGCGGAGGCTGTGGTGAGCCGAGATCATGCCATTGCACTCCAGCCTGGGCAACAAGAGCGAAACTCTGTCTTAAAAAAAAAAAAAAAAAAAAATTCTGAGGCTGGGCGCGCTGGCTCACACCTATATCCCAGCACTTTGGGAGGCCGAGGCAGGTGGATCACGAGGTCAAGAGATGGAGACCATCCTGGTCAACAAGGTGAAACCCGGTCTCTACTAAAAATACAAAAATTAGCTGGGCATGGTGGTGTGCGCCTGTAGTCGCAGCCACTTGGGCGGCTGAGGCAGGAGAATTGCTTGAACCCAGAAGGCGGAGGTTGCGGTGAGCCGAGATTGTGCCATTGCACTCCAGCCTGGGTAACAACAGCGAAACTCCATCTTAAAAAAAAAATTCTACAGAAAAAGAGACATGAAACTTTCAGGATATATTAATAATTGTGTATTAAAGTTATACTCACCCAAGAAGACCAGGTTTCTGTAGGTCTCTAACATCACATTTCTATATAAATCCTGCTGAGCAGGGTTCAGGCATTGCCACTCCTCCAGAGAGAATTCTATGGCCACATCCCTAAATGTCAGTGTCTCCTGAAAAACACACAGACACATATATATTTAACAAGTGGCCACGGGAAGAATTTTTTTTTTTTTTTTTCCGAGACAGAGTTTCGCTTTGTTACCCAGACTGGAGTGCAATGGCAGAATCTCGGCTCACCACAACCTCTGCCTTCTGGGTTCAAGCAATTCTCCTGCCTCAGCCTCCCGAGTAGCTGGGACTACAGGCGCGCACCACCATGCCCAGCTAATTTTTGTATTTTTAGTAGAGACGGGTTTTCACCTTGTTGACCAGGATGGTCTCAATCTCTTGACCTTGTGATCCACCCGCCTTGGCCTCCTAAAGGTCTGGGATTATAGGTATGAGCCATCGCGCCCGGCCGGGAAGAATTTCTTATTTGAGTTAAGGTGAAATGAGAGAGTAAAGACAATTGGTTCTGAGTTATAAAAATAAGAAATTATTCAATAATTTTCAACACAGAAATATTCGCTAATGTATTCTCTTCCTTTGAGGGCAGAGGAAGGTATAAGATACACATCACCAGTGCCTATCTGATACTCTTCTGGATGATAAACTGTGGGTGGGAGACCCCTTAAGTATGAGGAAGGAGTCAGAAGCCTCAACCTGTCCCATATAAATAATGAAGAAGAAAATAACTAGAGATATAACTATAGTGGTTATTCCTACGTGATCTTAGTTATTCACAGGTTATCTTAGATATTCATAGGTAACCATCAAGATATATATACATATACTCAGCATAATCTTTTACTAAAGCCTCTCAGGTCAAAGTATGAACCTAAGGTGACACTGTGAAAGAAGTGACCCTAACGCAAGATACTCTAAGCCCTTTGTCACGCCCACGTAAGGGCTGCTGGAGGGTGCCTTGGCTGTGCAGCAGCGCCAGCACTGGGAAAGGGCCCGCTGTTTAGCCAGCTGTGGAAGGAAGGTTTACAATGTCTCCTTCTCCAGAGGAGCTAGGAGAAAACTCGGCACCCCCAACCTCTTGTGGTATGTGACATCCGGGGACTTAATTGTTTCTATGTGATGCCGTGCTTCAGTGGTCATATTCCATATCCACTTTCATCTTCCACTTCTGCCCCTGGTCCTTCTTTTTCTTAGAAGATATTAGTAATACTAACATAAATCTCAAGGTCTTTATTCTTTCTTGACAAGTATCAAAAAAGTGTTGGCGCATTATGCTTCTTACCTCATCTTGGCTACTTGAAAGTTCTGGGCCGCCATTCCTATGGCACATAATGTACTTGATGCTACCACTGACAACCATGACCTCACCCTACCTACCCTGCCCCCTGCTTTTTATTCAATAAAAGTCAGAGTGTCCAGGCACTCAGGGCCACTGCCGGACTCCGTGCTTTGGCTGGCAGTGGACCCCTGGACCCAAACTCGGTTTTCTCTTTCTCAGTGTCTTGTGTCTTTTATTTCCACAGTTTCTCATCTCCATACCTGTAGAGAGGGGCTCACAGAACCCTGTAAGGGCTGGACCCTACAATAAAATATATAATTAAGGATATAAACACAAATGTATACATTTTTTAGTGTTATATTTACATCATAATGAGTTGTGTATATTTTCAGACAAAGAAAACATGATGAGTTATAAGGTAACTCTCAAATTTAAATGTACAATAAACTAGAGATCCTGTCATGACAATTGTTTTTTTTCCCAGAAGATTTGGAATAAAGTCTTCGTTTTTAAAATTCTAACAAGGTCACTAGTAATGCCAGTGTTTTTGACCCAAGAAGACTATTTTGTCAAACATTCAGTAAGTAAAAGAGACTGTTTTCCCCTATTTTTCTGGCCTGTAAACAAAGATAAGAGCCGGCCAGGCAAGGTGGCTCCTGCATGTAATCCCAGCACTTTGGGAGGCTGAGGTACTCAGATGACGAGGTCAAGAGATCAAGACCATCTTGGCTAACATGATGAAACTCCATCTCTACTAAAAATACAAAAATCAGCTGGATGTGGTGGCACAAGCCTGTGGTCCCAGCTACTCGGGAAGCTGAGGCAGGAGAACTGCATGAACCCAGGAGGCAGAGGTTGCAGTGAGCCAAGATCATGCCACTGTACTCCAGCCTGGTGACAGAGCAAGACCCTGTCTGAAAGAAAAAAGAAAGAATCTTCATTTTCCAAAGACAGATTGGTGAAAAAAATAAAAATAAAAACCCTAAGAAAAAATGTCAGGTTCCAGGTTAAATGTGATGGTTTATGCACATTAGCTGCATAAATATACTTGACAATAAAAGAAAAATAATTAACTCTATAGTTTAAAAAGAAACAGAGAGCTCTTTAACCAAGAAAAGTATTAACATCAACTACTCAGAACAATTTCTCATGATGTGCTATTGCACACGGAAAAACAGCATCACTGCTGAGGTACTGCCCCTCAAAAAGTCAATTATAGACTGAATTTAACCATAAAGAAAAATTAGTTTTAGCAAAGGTGAAGATATCTTCCATATTATATACTTTTTAACCATGATTTTAAGCAATCTTTCTTTAGCATCCTAGAGAGCAGGTATCTCTCAATAATTTTTTTCAGAACTTCCTGGGTAACAAATGCCATCCCGTTTAAATAAGCATTTTCTTAATCCTGTTCTGCACAGTGCTACCGGAGAACACAGATGAAACCTCAACATTCTATGTTCTCCATCTTTACTAATGACCTCAGCTTTCCCCCAATAGGAACCATGAGTATCCACATCTTCCCATGTTCAACAGCAAAAAAAGGAACACTTTTTTTTTTTTTTGAGACGTAGTTTCGCTCTTGTTACCCAGACTGGAGTGCAATGGTGCGATCTTGGCTCACCACAACCTCCGCCTCCTGGGTTCAGGCAATTCTCCTGCCTCAGCCTCCTGAGTAGCTGGGATTACAGGCACGCACCACCATGCCCAGCTAATTTTTTGTATTTTTAGTAGAGACGGGGTTTCACCATGTTGACCAGGATGGTCTCGATCTCTTGACCTCGTGATCCACCCACCTCTGCCTCCCAAAGTGCGGGGATTACAGGTGTGAGCCACTGCGCCCAGCCTCACAGATGTTCTTAAATGCAAGCTTATGATAACTTTAGGAATTGTGACATTAGAAGAGAGAATAAATTTTAGTATTTATGGGAAGTGAAATGTTCATGACTATCAAACAGAATAGGAATTAACTGAAGGGACTGAACTAACAGAAGACTGAGTAATATTTTTGACTTTGCATAAAACGTCACTGATCCTTTGGTTTGTTTTTCACAGTCAAGAAACTGAGCCGGGCGCTGTGGCGCATGCCTGTAATTCCAGCACTTTGGGAGGCTGAGGCAGATGGGTCACCTGAGGTTGGGAGTTTGAAACCAGCCTGACCAACATGGAGAAACCCTATCTCTAATAAAAGTATAAAATTACCCAGGCGTAGTGGCACATGCCTGTATTCTCAGCTACTGGGGAGGCTGAGGTAAAAGAATTGCTTGAACCCAGGAGGCAAAGGTTGCGGTGAGCTGAGACCGCATCATTGCACTCTAGCCTAGGCAACAAGAGCAAAACTCCACCTCAAAAAAAAAAAAAGAAAGAAAGAAAACTGAATAGTTAGGCAAAAAATATCATCACCCCTATTAAGCATGAAATAGTTACAGAAAACGGATCTTCATCTCTCTATAATCCTTAGGACTAACGGTGCCCTTGTAGAAAAAAAAAAGAGGCGGGAGATGTCAGAGGTAGATGGAACCAGAGCAAATCTATTTTGAATAGGGGCTGGGTAAAACAGGGCTGAGATTACTGGACTGCATTCCTGGAGAGTTAGGTATTCTAGGTAACAGGATAGGATAAAATGTCAGCACGAGATACAAGTCGTAAAGACCTTGCAGATAAAACAGTTTGCAGTAAGGAAGTCAAATAACATCCACCAAATCCCAGCTGTAACGAGAGTGACCTCTGGTCGCCCTCACTGCTACACTGCTCCCAGCAGTGTCATAACAGTTTACAAATGCAATGGAAACATCAGGAACTTACCCTATGTGGTCTAAAATTGGGAGGCATAAATAATCCACCCCCTGTTTAACATATAATCAAGACATAGAGAGAAAAATGTGCAACCAGCATCCCTCGGGGCTGCTCTGCCTATGGAGTAAGCCATTCTTTTCTTTCTTTCCTTTCTTAAATAGTACTTTTTTTTTTTTAACTGTACTGTATGGACTCATCCTGAATTTTTTCTTGAGCGAAATCCAAGAATCCTCTTGTGGGGCTTGAATTGGAAGCTCTTTTCGATAAGAACTCTGCACATTTTCTTTTTTCCATTAAAAGCATCAGCTGGGCTTTTTTGCAGACGCCGCCGCCGCCTGGAGCCTTGTAGTATCAGCCATGGTCAACCCCAACCGTGTTCTTCAACATTGCCGTCAACGGCGAGCCCTTGGGCCGCGTATCCTTCGAGCTGTTTGCAGACAAGTTTCCAGAGCAGAAAATTTTCATGCTCTGAGCACTGGAGAGAAAGGATTTGGTTATAAGGGTTCCTGCTTTCACAGAATTATTCCAGGGTTTATGTGTCAGGGTGGTGACTTTACACGCCATAATGGCATTGGTGAGGCAAGTCCATCTATGGAGAGAAATTTGATGATGAAAACTTCATCCTAAAGCATACACGTCCTGGCATCTTGTCCATGGCAAATGCTGGATCCAACACAAACGGTTCCCAGTTTTTCATCTGCACTGTCAAGACTGAGTGGTTGGATGGCAAGCATGTGGTCCTTGGCAAGGTGAAAGGAGGCATGAATATTGTGGAGGCCATGGAGCGCTTTGGGTCCAGGAAGGGCAAGACCAGCAAGAAGATCACCATTGCTGACTGTGGACAACTTTAATAAGTTTGACTTGTGTTTTATCTTAACCACCAGACCATTCCTTCTGTCGCTCAGGACAGCACCCTCCACCCCATTTGCTCTCAGTATCCTAAAATCTGTGCTCTCGCTGCAGTTCCCTTTGGGTTCCATGTTTTCCTTGTTCCCGTCCATGCCTAGATGGATTGCAGAGTTAAGTATATGATTATGAAATAAAGACGAAATAACAACAGCAACAACAACAAAAAGAGTCAGCTTAAGGGCCGAGAGCGGTGGCTGAAGCCTGTAATCCCAGCACTTTGGGAGGCCGAGGTGGGTAGATCACAGGGTCAAGAGATTGAGACCATCCTGGTCAACATGGTGAAACCCCGTCTCTACTAAAAATACAAAAAATTAGCTGGGCATGGTGGCGCGTGCCTGTAATCCCAGCTACTCAGGAGGCTGAGGCAGGAGAACTGCCTGAACCCAGAAGGCAGAGATTGCGGTGAGCCGAGATCGCGCCATTGCCCTCCAGCCTGGGTAAGAAGAGGGATATTCCGTCTCAAAAAAAAAAAAGGGCTGGGCGCGGTGGCTCAAGCCTGTAATCCCAGCACTTTGGGAAGCCGAGGTGGGTGGATCATGAGGTCAAGAGATCGAGACCATCCTGGTCAACATGGTGAAACCCCGTCTCTACTAAAAATACAAAAAATTAGCTGGGCATGGTGGTACGTGCCTGTAATCCCAGCTACTCAGGAGGCTGAGGCAGGAGAATCGCCTGAACCCAGGAGGCAGAGGTTGCGGTGAGCCGAGATTACGCCATTGCACTCCAGCCTGGGTAACAAGAGCAAAACTCCGTATCAATTAAAACAAACCAAGAAACAAAAGGATCAGCTGAATTTGTCTCCAGTGGTCTAAATAAAAATTTTCACAGGCTACAGAACTTTGAACTATTCTCAGTCTGAGTCAACATACAACCTCATTTTATATCTCTTCCAAGAGCATGATGACTTCACAATAAAATACTCTCTGATCTAAAAATCTGATTTTTCACCCTTCATTTGCCATTCTCCTCTCACCTTCTCTCTAATCTTGTTTGCTGCTCCCTAGAAAAGAAAGCCCCTGTCTGCCTAAACTTTGCCATCCTTTCTTTTTTTCTCTCTCTCACGTACCTATGACTCAACTTTGCCATCCTTAAATTTTTTTTTATTTATTTCTTTATTTTGAGACAAGGTCTTGGTTTATCGCCCAGGCTGGAATGCAGTGGTGCGACCTTGGCTCACTGCAACCTCCACCTCCCAGGTTCAAGCAATTCTGCCTCAGCCTCCTGAATAACTGGGATTACACATATATGCCACCCACGCCCGGCTAATTTTGTATTTTTTGTAGAGACGGGGTTTCTTCATGTTGATCAGGCTAGTCTCAAAGTCCCGACCTCAGGTGATCTGCCCACCTCAGCCCCCAAAGTGTGAGCCACCACATCTGGCCCTTGAAGTTTTTAATAATTGGTACTTTTTCCTGTTGCAATACTCCTTTGGAATTCAATTTTTTTAAAACATAAATCTAACTTTGTTTTATATTCCAAAGCCCAGAAACTGCCTCAAAACAATAATAACTTCATCACCCGTAAGACCCTCTCAGTCCCCTTTCATCTTAACCTTAACTGCACTTAGCAGTAAGTCTTCTTCCATAACTGGGATGCGCAGGCTGAGACATCTGCAGGAAAGGCAACCCAGAAGAAAAACTAACTTTGCTTTTAAAAACCTTTTTGCGGCCGGGCGCGGTGGCTCACGCTTGTAATCCCAGCACTTTGGGAGGCCGAGGCGGGTGGATCACGAGGTCAAGAGATTGAGACCATCCTGGTCAACAAGGTGAAACCCGTCTCTACTAAAAATACAAAAAATTAGCTGGGCGTGGTGGCACGTGCCTGTAATCCCAGCTACTCAGGACGCTGAGGCAGGAGAATTGCCTGAACCCAGGAGGCGGAGGTTGCGGGGATCCGAGATCGCGCCATTGCACTCCAGCCTGGGTAACAACAGCGAAACTCCGTCTCAAAAAACAAAACAAAACAAAACAAAAAAAAACAGATGTGTCTGACTTATGTTTCAAGTCAGGCCATTCATTCAATCACTTGAGAGAACCACCCATTCAGGAGAGCCTGCATCTTGCCCCAGTGACTACCCAAGGGGCATTTGACTTTGCAAGTTCTGACACCATCTCTCTGGAGTCACTTTTTGTTTGGTCTTTTGGGACACTATTTTTTTCTGTGACAAATTTTTGGCTTTTTTTTTGAGACGAAGTTTCGCTCTTGTTACCCTGGCTGGAGTGCAATGGCGGGATCTCGGCTCACCGCAGCCTCCCCCTCCTGTGTTCAAGCAATTCTCCTGCCTCAGCCTCCCGAGTAGCTGGGACTACAGGCCCGCACCACCATGCCCAGCTAATTTTTGTATTTTTAGTAGAGACAAGGTTTCACCTCGTTGACCAGGATGGTCTCAGTCTCTTGACGTTGTGATCCACCCGACTCAGCCTCCCAAAGTGCTGTGATTATAGGCGTAAGCCACCGCGCCCAGCCATTTTTGGCTTTTTAACACCTTTTCATTCACTATATTTATTTCATTCTTTCTCTACCCTTAGAAAATCCAGGGGGCAGAGATTATTTCTGTGTTTTCCCTTCAGTACCAGCATCTGACTGGCTGACCAGCAATGTGTGCCAAGAAATAAAAGCTGGGTTTGGTGTAGACAATTTTAATGCCTCAGGGGTTACCTTTTCAAAAAAAAAGAGTACACCAGAAGATTCCTCGGAGCCCCAGGGCATCCACTTGCTTCTTTGAGAGGAAACATACCTCAGGTCGTCCTATGGGAGAAAATAACCCAGAAGCTGATATTCCCTAGACACTTTAGCTGACATAACCATGGTGGATATCTTGGTTTATCCCAGTCAGTACTGAAACCCAGGACCAGAAAAAAACTAAAGGATGGCTGAAGACACATCAGCTCATAGAGATTCCAAAGGATAACCTGGACCCCAAACATTCTAACAAGATCTCTGTGCCTGGAGAGGATGTAAGGAGAAGAGGCACAAAGAGCTTTTACAATACAGCGTCAGGGGATTATTCTTTGCTTTCTTCTCATGGGTAATATTTACAAACAGGTAACAAATCTTTTTAAAACTCTCATTTAATGCTTTTCAAAAATAATTAATTAAATATGATATAGAAAAGTACACTAGGGCCGGGCGCGGTGGCTCACGCCTGTAATCCCAGCACTTTGGGAGGCCGAGGCGGGTGGATCATGAGGTCAAGAGATCCAGACCATCCTGGTCAACATGGTGAAACCCCGTCTCTACTAAAAATACAAAAAATTAGCTGGGCATGGTGGCGCGTGCCTGTAATCCCAGCTACTCACTCAGGAGGCTGAGGCAGGAGAATTGCCTGAACGCAAGAGGCGGAGGTTGCAATCTCCAGCCTGGGTAACAAGAGAGAAACTCTGTCTCAAAAAACAAACAAACAAACAAACAAAAAGTACACTAGACAAATAGCTGATACTGTAAATTAGGGAGGACAAGCTGGCATTTGGGAATGCCAGATGAAACTGGAAATTTAGTATCTTACTGCAAGCCAGAGTGAGGCTGGAGAAATGAGGGATAGAGGTTAGACTTAAGACACTGCTTAGGACACAGGTGAAAAATGCAGCAGAAAATCAGTTTCCCATGAAGTGTGAAAATAATTAAATGGCAATTAGACTGAGTTGTGTCTTGTCCCTGGATTCGTACTTTTAAAAAAAATCTAACTGATGTGCATTTTTTTTAGTAAATAAGTACACTGAGAGAAAATTCAGCCTTAACTATACACTGCCAATTAACCTCTGATTACATAACCAAGAAATGTTCACCTTTATTGCACAAATGAAGAAACTCCATAACTGTACCTAACCAGTTAGTGAATTTGGTTTCCTTCATCATGCAGTTTATTTATTTGTATTTTTATTTCTGATGAATTCACAGAAACAGGCTTCAGAAGGTGGGCATCATGCAGTTTATAACGCTCTTTCCTTCAAGCCCCGTCCATGAACCACAAATGACAAACCACAGCAGGTGCTTGACAACTGTTGAATCACTCTTTGATTAAATTGTTTAATGTTTTTAGGGTGACTCCCATACATTTTTAGCAGAAGAAAAGAGCTGGGAACCCTACGGACTAAAGCTCTTCACTCATGGAACCCGCACCCGGAGTCAGGATTCTCCCCTGACGACCCTCCTGTGGTCCCTGCACAATCGGAGAGACGCGACGCTACGGGTGAAGAGCCGCCCAGGGATGGCTCCAGACCAGAGCACATTCACTGTGCAGGGAAGAGGCAGTACACCGGGCCCGGCTGTAAGCGCAGCCGCCATCTTATGACTGAAGGGGACTGAGGCCGAGCTGGGCAAGAACTCCGGGCGCAGACTGTGGAGCTGACTGCGGGGAGCCCTGAGTCCCCCCACAGCCACTTCCCAACGGTTCCAACCAGCCCCTTCCCCTGTCTCGGGGGTTCGACCCTGCACTCTCACCATTTCTATGGCTCCAGGGGGTCCCGGCGTCATAGCTGTGGAACTCCCAATAGCTGCAGGTCGCAGAGCCACAGAGGCTGGGACTCTAGGAGCAGAAGACACAGAAAAGTGAAGATGAGACCTGGAGCTCCTGCAGCGGGAAACAAAGGCCGCGCCACATTCCGGAAACCTTCCGGTCCGCTCCAGCTGCGTGCGCGATTGGACGGTTCCCAGCCCAGCGTCGCTGATTGAATAACGGGTAAAACCCCACCCTCTCAGGCCCTGAGTGACAGAAGATGAGATCAGACGCTGGACTGAGTGAAGAAAAAGTGACAGGCAGCCTAGGCTGTAGCCTTTTCGAGCAGGGCTTTTTTCCTGAGCTGGGCCTGGCCCACCACAGAGAGTATTAAATGCCTTTAAACTGGTGTGTCAAGTCGTATGTATTTACAAATAATATTTTACGTGGCTATTTACAAATAGAATATCATAACAATTTTTTTTTTTTTTTTTTTTTTTTTTTTTTTTTAAGAAGGAGTTTGGCTCTTGTTATTTAGGCTGGAGTGCAACGGCGCCATCTCGGCTTACCACAACCTCCGCCTCCTGAGTTCAGGCAATTCTCCTGCCTCAGCCTCCCGAGTAGTTGGGACTACATGCGCGCGCCACCATGCCCAGCTAATTTTTGTATATTTAGTAGAGACAGGGGTTTCGCCTTGTTGACCAGGATGGTCTCGATCTATTGACCTCGTGATTCACCTGCCTCTGCGTCCCAAAGTTCTGGGATTATAGGCGTGAGCCACCGCGCCCGGCGCATCTTTTTTCTTATTGGTTTCAAAGACTTTCTTGATTTCTGACTTAATTTTACTTAATTTTTTTTTTTAAACAGAGTCTCACTCCGTTAGGCTGGAGTGTGATGGCATGATCTCAACCCACTGCAACCTACGCCTCCCAGGTTCAAGTGGTTCTCCTGCCTCAGCCTCCTGAGTAGCTGGGACTACAGGCACCCACCATCACACCCAGTTAATTTTTGTGTTTTAGTAGAGGCAGGGTTTCAGTATGTTGGCCAGGCTGGTCTCAAACTTCTGACCTGGTTATCCGCCCGCCTTGGCATCCCAAAGTGCTCAGATTACAGGCTTGAGCCACCGCGCCTGGCCCTTAATTTTACTATTTACCCAGAAGTCATTCAGGGGCATGTTGTTCAATTTCCATGGTTGTATAGTGTTGAGGTCCTTGTTTGTTTGCTTGTTTTTAGACCAAGTTTCACTTTATCGCTCAGGCTGGTGTGCAGTGGCGTGGTCCAGGCTCATTACAACCTCTGTCTTCCAGTTTCAAGCAATTCTTCTACCTCAGCCTCCCGAGTAGCTGGGATTAGAGCTGCCCGCCACACGCCCAGCTAATTTTGTATTTTTAGTACAGACTGGATTTCACCATGTTGGCCAGGCTGGCCTCAAGCTCCTAGCTTGTGATTCACTTGCCTTGGCTCCCAAAGTGCTGGGATTACAGACGTGAGCCATCACACCCGGCCGTAAATTCTAATTTGATTGCACTGTGCTGTGAGCAATTGTTATAATGTTAGTTCTTTTGCATTTGCTCAGGAGTGTTTTACTTCGATTATGTGACCACTTTCAAGTTAACTGCCATGTGGAACTTAGAAGAATGTGTGTGTTGTATTTGGCGGGAGAGTTCTATAGATATCCGTCAGGTCCGCTTGACCCAGAGCTGAGTTCAAGTCCTAAATATCCTTGTTCCTTTTGTTTTTCACAATTATCTGTCTAATATTGGCAGTGAGGTGTTAAAATCTCCCACTATTATTTTGTGGCAGTCTAAGTCTTTTTGTAGGTCTCTAAGAATCTTTTTTTTTTTTTTTTTTGAGACAGAGTTTCGCTCGTGTTACCCAGACTAGAGTGTAATGGCGCGATCTCGGCTCACCGCAACCTCCACCTCCTGGATTCAGGCAATTCTCCTGCCTCAGCCTCCTGAGTAGCTGGGATTACAAGCATGCGCCACCATACCCAGCTAATTTTTTGTATTTTTAGTAGAGACGGGGTTTCACCATATTGACCAGGATGGTCTCGAACTGTTGACCTCGTGATCCACCCACCTCGGCCTCCCAAAGTTCTGGGATTACAGGCTTCAGCCACCGCGCCCGGCCTAGAATGTGTTTTCTTTTAAATCTGGGTGCTCCTTCAATTGATTCTTTTAGCGTTATGTAATACTCTTTTGCCTTTTTTGATCTTTGTTAGTTCAAAGTCTGTTTTGTCAGAAACTATGGTTGCAACCCCTGCCTTTTCTTCTGGTTTTATTTGCTTGGTAAATTTTTCTTTCTGTTTTTTTTTTGTTTGTTTTGTTTTTAATTTTGAGCCTATTTCTGTCTTTGCATTTAAGATCGGTCTTTTTATTTATTTATTTATTTTTTTGAGACAAAGTTTCACTTCTGTTTTGGCTGGACTGCTGGTTTACAATGGTGTGATGATGAATCACCACAACCTCTACCTCCTTGGTTCAAGTGATTCTCCTGCCTCAGCCTCCCAAGTAACTAGGATTAAAGATATATACCACCACACTTGGCTAATTTTGTATTTTTGGTAGAGAGTCTTTAACTCCCAACCTCAGGTGATCTGTCTGCCTGGGCCTCCCAAAGTGCTGGGATTACAGGTGTGAGCCACTGCACCCAGCCCATGAGATGGGTCTCTTAAATACAGCACAGCGATGAGTTTTGACTCTTTATTGAACTTCCATTCTGGCTGGGCATAGTGGCTCATGCCTACAATCCCAGCACTTTGGGAGGCCGAGACGGGTGGATAACAAGGTCAAGAGATAGAGACCATCCTGGTCAACATGGTGAAACCCCGTCTCTACTAAAAATACAAAAATTAGCTGGGCATGGTGGTGCATGCCTGTAGTCCCAACTACTCGGGAGGCTGAGGCAGGAGAATTGCTTGAACCCAGGAGGCGGAGGTTGCGGTGAGCCAAGATCGTGCCATTGCACTCTAGTCTGGGTAACAACAGCGAAACTTCGTCTCAAAAATAAAATAAAATAAAACCTCTTTCAGGCCACGCGCGGTGGCTCACGCCTATAATCCCAGCACTTTGGGAGGCCGAGGCGGGTAGATCACGAGGTCAAGAGATCAAGACCATCCTGGTCAACAAGGTGAAACCCTGTCTCTACTAAAAATACAAAAATTAGCTGGGCATGGTGGTGTGCACCTGTAGTCCCAGCTATTTGGGAGGCTGAGGCAGGAGAATTGCTTGAACCCAGAAGGTGGAGGTTGCGGTGAGCCAAGATCGTGCCATTGCACTCAAGTCTGGGTAACAACAGCGAAACTCCGTCTCAAAAATAAATTAAATAAATAAATAAATAAAACCTCTTTCAAGGCAGGCCTCATGGTGATGTCAGATTTCTTCAGCATTTGCTTGTCTGACATGGATATTATTTCTCCTTCACTTATAAAGCATAATTTTGCTGAATATGAAATTCTTAGTTGAAAATTATTTTCTTTAAGAATGTTGAGGCTGGGTGTGGTGGCTCACGCCTGTAATCCCAGCACTTTGGGAGGCTGAGGTGGGTGGATCATGAGGTCAAGAGATTGAGACCATCCTGGTCAACATGGTGAAACCCCGTCTCTACTAAAAATACAAAAAATTAGCTGGGCATGGTGGCACGCACCTGTAATCCCAGCTACTCAGGAGGCTGAGGCAGGAGAATTGCCTGAACCCAGGAGGCGGAGGCTGCGGTGAGCCGAGATCATGCCATTGCACCCAGCCTGGGTAACGAGAGCAAAACTCCATCTCAAAAAAAAAAAAAAAAAGAATGTTGAATGTTGGTCCCCAATCTCTTTATGGCTTGTAGCGCTTCTGCTTAGAGATCCACTGTGATTCTGATGGGTTTCCCTTTGTAGGTAACCTGGTCTTTCTCTCTGGCTGTTGATATTATTTTTTCCTGCATTTCAACCTTGAAGAACCTGATGATTATGTGTATTGGGTTTAATTTTCTCATGAAATATCTTACTGAGGTTTTTGGATTTTCTGAATTTGTATGTTGGTCTGTATTGTTAAGTTGGAAAACTTCTTCTGGATGATACTCTGAAATACATTTTCCAACTTCATTCCATTATCTTAATCTCTTTAAGATACCCTGATCACTCATAGTTTCAGTCATTTTACATAATCCCATAATTATCAGAAATTGTGTTTATTTTTTAATTCTTATTTAATCTTGTCTGCCTGTCTTATTTCACCAAGCTATTCTTCAAGCTCTGAAGAAGCAAGGAAGCTCAATACTCGTAATATTATTACAAAATGTTTCCATTATCTTATTTAGTAAAAGATCATACATTTAATAAATCTTAAAATATTATAAACATACTAGAGTTTCTCAAGAAAAAAGGAAAATAACTAAATCATTCAAAATTGGCTCTTTTTTTTTTAATGTAATGTAGTTTTTTTTATTTTTTGAGATGGAGTTTTGCTGTTGTTACCCAGGCTGGAGTGCAATGGCACGATCTCGGCTCACCACAACCTCCACCTCCTGGGTTCAGGCAATTCTCCTGCCTCAGCCTCCTGACTAGCTGGGATTACAGGCATGCGCCACCATGCCCAGCTAATTTTTTGTATTTTTAGTAGAGACGGGGTTTTACCTTGTTAACCAAGATGGTCTCGATCTCTTGACCTCGTGATCCACCCGCCTCTGCCTCCCAAAGTGCTGAGATTACAGACATAAGCCACTGCGCCTGGCCTACAATGTTATTTACAATCTATTTTACTATACCCTTTGTGAATAAAGAGATAATTATGTACATGAAGCTACCTACAGTTGTTTCTTTCCAACTGACAAACCATAACTGTAGAAAAAGGATGAGAGTTAAAAGGTGCTGCAGCTCAAAATCATTATGATCAATTTAGATTCTGCAAATTTTCCCAGGGTTCAAAAATGCTGGTTAAATCAGGAAAGAAGAGGAGGCAAATGAGTGCACCCCACTCCTCCCCCATTTTTGCATGGTGCTCCCTTACTTAACTAGTGAAGACCAGCACCTGAATTCTAGACAATTTCATATACAACAGGCCTCTTATTATGGGTCCATACCAGATGATTTAGGGTAGACATTTAAAAATTATCAATGCTAATAGCCTATCAGTGACTTTTATGACTGCTCAATCTTTGTTTTAATGGTAGCCAAGAAACTATCAAGTGGAATGCCTGATCTGAACATGTTTCCACTGTGGCTTTGGCGAAGCCGACTATCTGCAGTATAAAATTTTATGGTTTGATCAGAAGCCTCATTTTGACTAGGAACAGT